AAAGCCGTAGACTAATGTGTCACAAATTTCGTTTTTCTTGAATACTATTTTTGTGCCATTAGACCTACACTGTGTACATTAAACATGCACAAGTTTCCCCCTCTTCAGTGTACTTGCCCATCTTTCTGAACCTCTAACACAATGCCAGCTGAATGCGTGTCACGATGTAGATGTATCTTGCATGAGACCCGCTTGGCGAGACAGTAAAAGTAAAGAAGTTCTAGAGGGGAAGTAGAAAAAGAGATCAGGAAGAAAACCTGGATAGATGAGGCGAGATGAACAGCTGACAATGCTGATCATTTCGCATTCTTTCATACGCTACATCTGCGTAGCAACCTCAATTCTTAATGTCACGATTTCTGAACTAATTTATGACCGATTGGTACTATTCTGAAAGTCAGTTATGCTACTGTCGAACTTTCAGTCTTACGTTATACAGTCCTATATGCATGATCTCAGCTGTACATATTTCTGAACTTAATCTCTGATCTCTTATCACTTAATGACTAGAGGCCCCTGTTTTGTCCAAACACAGCTCAATGCATCTTAGTTCAAGATAAGGCAGATTCATATGTTAGGTTCATTTATTGAAGATTGATCGATAATCTCGATCTTTGATGGCAACCAATTTCTTACCATTAAGTTTTTCGAAAATTCTTCCATTCATGTATATATTTAAGTATAAGTTGTAACTCCCCATTTGTTGTTGAGGATATCAATTTTAATTGTCCAAGCGACAATATTTCTACTCGTTAAGTGCCAGTTTTCAGCAAACCATTGGTCCTTTAAACTGAAGAAAACTCACATTCGGTCAGTTGAAATGTCATTCGCATATAATTAAAATTCACGTCTTGAAAAGCCAACTAAACTTACAATTTATTCTTACCCTGTAATATTATAAAGTGGTTACCTGTTTCTGGTTGACAAGTAATTTAAAGCAGGTAATATGTAGCAGCTGAAAGTCAATCAGTCAGTTAGTCAGGTTTCATAACCTTTTATTTTTTCAGTCCCTGAGGCAGACGCTTCAGACAGTGCTTCAAATGCTACTGATTCTGTACCAACGTTTGAGTTTCAGTAGAAGATAACTCGAGTCTAGATCAGAGTCCCTCGAGACATTTGCATCAGGTAATTCATCGCCATCTCCGGGCTTCTTGGTCGGTTTGATGGGCAAGCAGTTGTTTTGCCTTACTCTGTGTAAACCTTCGAAAGACGATTCCAAACCATATCTATTGTGACTTTCCAACTTGTAGAAGCAGCGGATGTACACGAAAACTTTCGTAAATATCTGAACTCCAAATTTTATCAGGACCAATAAACCCAGTAATTCT